GCATCCCCATGAGTCTTATCTTTACCCATATATGCACATACCTGCAATAATAATAAACATTCTTGCTTATCACGGCCTTTTTGACTGTGCACGCATATCTGCATACATCGCAGCCAGTTGGTCGTTCTTTTCTTTTTTTTTCTTTTTACTTGCTTGGCTGTGTTATTCGCAGCATTGGAAAACAAAAATTCTCGTAATTGTTAATGGTATATGGAGTTTATTTTGCTTTCTGTTATTGGAAAAAAAAAATGGTTTATAAATATTTCTATGCTTTCTGGTGTCCCACTGTTTGTTGATGCATATGTGTGAACGTAATGGTAGGACTGAACATCATTAAACAGTGTATATGGACACAGATACTTGGGTTTTAAAATACTGAATTACTTCTTTTTTTATTGGGATTTCTTTGGTAAATGAGTGTGTGCTCTCAAGAAAGAAGATTCACATTCCTGCAGTTAAAGCAGCATGGTTGTTTTCTTTTCTTTATCTCTCTCTTTCCCTTTGTGTGTGATGACCAACATGACGTTATATTGTACCCAACATATCTGTTTCTCTTTTTTTCTTTCTCTCATTTCTGCTTTCTATTTTTGACACAGCTATACACAAACAAACCCACACACACTCTTGCAAGTAAGCATTCAAGAAGATCCACATGCGTCGTCTGTTGTGCACTGCACTGCTCTTGCTGTGTTGTGCCTACGGGTGCATTGCAGCTGTTGTGCAGCCGCTACCGCAGACAGGACGGGATCTCTTGGATGGGTTCATCTTTTTTCCCGTTTCTCAAGCTGTGAATGGTGAAGAGAGGTGGTACCCACTCCGTATCGGTGTTTTTCCTGACGGGGTGAACGATGTGTTAAATTACTGCAATGGTAAGAAAACTCTCACTCCGATTTTTGGGGGACTGAGTTTTAGAGAGTCGGATTATAAACGGTTTTGCAAAGAGTTTCGGTTTACCAATGAGATGGGGAAACTTATTGTTGAAAAGATTCTCCCTGCAGCTGTAAAGTTGCATACTGATCGCCTTAGTGTCGAACGATCGTCGTGGAAATTGTTGGTTCCGCGGTTGTTCTCACAGTCTTTTTTTCCTGAATGTATAGATGCTATAATTCCAGAAAAACACCATACAGTAGGTATTGGAAATATTGATTTTGCACTCTATGTAGGACTAAGTAAGTTCATGACTTCTGCGGTTGTTTGTTCTGAAGATGTGAATAAGCGTCCGACATCTGGTTTGATAAGTTTTTATCCAAAAGACATTGTCGACACAAGACACTTTATTCGCATAACTGCGCATGAGATTGCTCATGCTCTCGGTTTTGAACTCAATCGTATGAAAGATCTTCAAATGATAGTGCAGAGAACAGTGAATGGAGTGAATGTTCCAGAGGTGCGGTCTGAGACTGTAGTTGCGAAGGTGAAGGAACATTTTGGCTGTGATAATGCCACTGGCATCTATATGGAGAGTGAGCACCTGCAGTTTAGCTCTCATTTGGAGCGGAGACTTGCAAAGGATGAGTTGATGAGTACGTACAGTGAAGAACCATCTGGTATGTACTATACATCACTTACACTCGCAATATTTAATGATATGAAATTTTACAAGGCTAACTTCAGCATGGCAGAGACAATGAGTTGGGGAAGCAATGCTGGATGTGAGTTTCTTACAGGGGAATGTATACAAGAGAATATCATTAAATATCCCAATACATTTTGTACTGAATCCCGTGTATCGCTGCAATGTACATCTGATCGTCTTTCTCTTGGAAGGTGTACATCGAGTAATTTCCCTCAGGACTATCCTGAGGATTATCGAAACTTTAAGAATAACACTTTCACCTATTTGTACGGTGAATTGACAGATGGATGTCCCATCATAAGGACGCTTGAAGAAACAACATGTCAGAGCGGTGATCTGGAGTTAATGCCTGGAAGCATTCTGGGGAAAGAATCACGGTGTCTACAAGGTAATGAACTGATACAAAAAGAATCGGCTCAAACTTTCTTGCCCATTGGTGACATTTGTGCCAATGTAAAGTGTGAGGATGGCAAAGTTAAGGTACAATATAAGGGGAATGATAAATGGCATGAATGCCCTGATGGTGGCAAGATTGAAAATTTGGAAGGCTCAGAGTTCCAAAGTGGAAGCATCTTGTGTCCCAAGTACGCGGAGATGTGTACTGATTTTCCCCAAATCAGTGAACTCCGCATTGAAAGTAATGAAGCTGCCGATATTGAAATTCTCCAAGGTTACGTTATTGGAAGAGATTTACATGACATAAGTGGTGAAGAGAATAAAACGGCAAATAATAATAACATGAGTAATCACACAGTAGTAGGAAATATCACATGTACGGTGGGAAATTGCAACAAACATACAGCTGGGGAGGGTGCTAACAAGAGTATTGTGACCTCATATTTTGGAGCTGTGCTACTTCTTCTCTTTATTGCAGCTGTGATGATGTAATCATGAGATTTATGCATAAAATGTAATTCAAGTGTCTCTATGTAATTTTCTTTTTTCTTTTTTTTTCACATATATACATATATACATATATATACATATTACGGTCCAATTGACCAATCTTTTTTTCTTATTTGCTTCACGTAATTGTTTATTCCGTTGGAGATCAAATTCTTCTGGGTAATAATCGATTATTAGATGATGCAACGATTGTGCTTTTGAGCAAATATTAATTCATATATTTATATTCCTTTCTTGGGGGCGAATCCCTCATTCCCTCCTTGTTTCAGGGCGTTAATTTTGACATACTTGCCAACTGACGGAGAAAAAATTGAAATTATCATGTCAGTTATACATATAAGTTTTTATATTTTACAAAAGGAAACCACTAAAATAATTTTGTTTTTCCATTGGAATAAAAGTTAAATGAAATGTGAGAAAGCACCATTGTGATATCTACTTTTCTTGAGTCTGTTGACCCTTTCACCGCAGCCCTTCTTTCCTGATAAACCTTTACATTTTTTTGGATTCTATAAAAGGAAAAATGACTATTACTTTGATGTTGTGCCCCACCTCTTTTTTTTCCCCTCCTCTCCATCTCTTCCTTTCTCTCTTTTTTCTTT